GCACTCCTGCAGCCACAATCACTTCACTAGAAAAGCCACACATCTCAGATAGAAAAAGTTGAATTGAAAATGCCTTATCAACAAAATCTACACTTTTGGACGGGGCTTGGAACAGAGCAGCAGTTGCTGCAGTTATCCCAAGGAGAGGGAATCCTGGCACAAAGTAACTCATCTGTACCTCCTCTGAATACTCGGTGCAGGCAATAAAGAGCAGCTGCTCATTTACTGCCCTGGGGTTCTAGAAGGGGCTCCCAGAAATACACAGAGCAGTGCTGCAACTTGCAGCCACAAAATATTAAACAGAACTGAACACTGCCTGGAGCCAATGCCAGGTGGGTCCACGTGGTGTCAGCATGGCACCCCCAGGAGTGGGGCCATGAGTGAGCCCAGTGCAGCCCCAGGACAGTGAGCAGAGCCTGGTGGTCTCCCAGGTTTGAAATGGGGATGTGTGGCTGTGGGTTTTTGTATTCCCGAGTGGCAGAGCTCCCAGAACCCAATCTCCGTGCACCTGGTTGTGGATGACACAGGAAGACACGAGCTGAGCATTTCAGATGGAGGGGCAGATTTCAGATTAACCTCATGCGTGTTTAAGAAATGCCCCTGGTTTTCTTTTGGCAAAAGCACAGAAAATGTTGCCAAGCAGTGAGAGAGCTGTTTCCCAAGCACAGCCTACCATGCTAACTGCGTTGTAAGTTACACCAAGATGTGCAATATTTCCTGTGCGGATGATGCTGCAGGTGCAACGAGAGAGAAATCCCACATTCCTCTGGATGTGATCCTACCCTGAATCCATCTTCAGGAATGATTATCTATGTGAAGGTGGAAGAGCCGGGGCACAGAGCAAGCATGGAGCGCTGCCGGGCAAAGGAACACTACTGCTGGTGCTTCAGCAAGTCTAGAGAGTGGGAAAAACACCACTTCTGTACTCAGAATGGCATTCAGATATTATAATGAACAGTTCTGCCTGTTGCTCCCTTATAAATAGTGTATAAATGATATAGCAGAAAGAAATCTGACTTCTAGTTGTTATTTCCCCTGGATTTGGCTGGGTATGCTGTGGTTGTGTCCAAGGAGTTTGAACAGCACTGGAAATCATTGTGCTGCCATCACATTGATTTCAACAGGCCATGTAGGAAACCTCAAAATAACTCACCCAGAAATAAACGCTCTTGGAATAGATGTCATGCAACAGCCTCTGGTGACTTCACATAAGAAATTGTTTTGCCACCGCTGCATGTCTGAGTGGAAATGCTGAGCGCAGCCCATGGCTCACTGAGCTGCTCGCCAACTCCTTTCCCTTGCTATTCTCTGTACCAGGCTGCAGTTTATTTAGAGTCAACACTGGGACCATGGTCAGGGGTTGAAAGATCCTTCTGTTACACTGCTCGTCAGACAATCAAAGCACCAAATAAGGAATTAAGACTTCAGTACTCTGACCTTACAGCAGCAAACTTTTATCCATGTCTATTAAAAACGTATTAGGATAACATGAATACACAGAGACACGTGAAAAACCTTGTAGATTGTTTCTTTTGAGAAACCATACCCAAAGAGAGCACTTCAAATCTTTTTCTGTTTTGTTGTAACATAGGGAAATTATCTGCAATAGGATGTCTGGAGCTCCCCATACAGCTGTGACAACATACAGTGTACACAGCTCATCACAGAGCAGCAAAGCAGGGGAATCTGTTGTTCCACAGTTTATTCACAGGCAGTTGTTACTGGGAATCTTGCTTCTTTTGGAGCTCTCCCCATGACAACCTTTTTCCCATTAATGCTTTTGTCACACAGTGAAAGCACAGACACCCAGCACAACACCTCCCAACGCGCTCTGCCCAAGATGAGAGCATCAAACACCTCCAACATCACCAACCCTCACGCTGAGACCAAACATCAAACCTTGCACTAGAACCTATCTTTTCACTTCTATTCCTTGCTCAGACAACCCAAAGCAACGTACCTTTGCAGTTCGCCTGCTTCTCATGCTCACACCGGTGCTGTCACCCAGCAGCAGCTCTCAGCACGGTGCAGAGGAGCCCCGGCGCTGCGCAGTCACTGCGTGTGGGACCTGCAGCTCTGACCGCCCTGCCCTTACAGCACCCAGCAATGATGTGTGTAGGCAGTTCTCATGAAATACGGTTTCTGTGACAGCAGATAAGGTGGAAAAGAAAACAAAACAAAGCAGGAAAAGTCGACCAGCACCAGGAACTGAGAGAAAGTCTGTCTGCAAGCGGAATTTTCCTTGAACTGTCACCAGCTTGCAGCAATTAACCACAGCCAGAAGTGTCACCCTCCTTTTCTGCTGCCTGTTCCCGTATTTCTTTGTTTAGAAGTGTAACAAACACAAGAATACTTCACGCCACAAGAGGCTGCACAGCCCGTGATAGAAGGAAGGCTGCCACAATCGTACCAATTCAGGATTCCTAAGCCAATGTTTTCATGCTTTTCAAGGCTGTCTCTGTATTTAAAGCACCCCATTATAATTTTTGTTGTCATGTAAAAGTGGCTTTGAGAGAACCTTAAGCACTACCCTACGTGAGGGTGAATTCTATGGCGATGACTCCTCCTCACCGCCCAGAGCCTGGTGCATTCAAACAGCATCCTGTCCTGCACCGTGCTGGGCAGAGCAGAGTTGTTCTGTGGCAGCACTGGAGGATTTTTTTCAGTCACATACACAACCTCCCACCCTGAGCTGTAGTTTACCCCAAGCTTACCCAGTTATACTGGAATTCATAGGGTACTTCTAGCAGAAAGACAGCCTGCAGGAGAACCACTCGTCCCAGGCCACTACCCTCTTTTAAGTGGGAAGCATCAACGAGCGGCAAACCAGATTTCCAGCAGCATCCCTGTGGGAGAGGCCATCCCCAGAGCCGTGTGTCAGCTGCTGGTTGCCAAGTCAGCACCCCAAGCAGTGCTAAAGCCCAAAAGGTACAAATCCACAACTGTGGCTTGCCTCTAAATCTGCTCTGCTTTCAGGAGTGCAGTGGTACAACCTCAGCACTTGTCCATGACAGACAGAAGGGGCAGGAGGGATGATCTGCCAGGTGGATACAATTGACCTTCAGCAGGGGATGGAGGCTCTCCTGCGGAGATACAACCAGTGCTGGGTTGTATCTGAGTGGAAGAGCATGGCAGGACATAGTTACTGAGAGCTACAGATGAGAATAAAGCATTCCTTTGTCAAATGAAGGGCTGCCCAAACTGCAAGAGCAAGAGAAGAAATCGACATCCATCAGTCAGCAATGTCCCCCAGCAGAAGTTATCTGCCCAAGGAAAGATCCCTTCTCCTCGGAAGGGCAGCAGGTCACTGCTTTCTCACTGGCAAGTGCTCGAAACCAGGGCAGCTCACAATCTCAGGCAGGAATTCTGGTTGCCAAGAGCTTGCTTATACATTTGCTTCCTCTTTCAGGTGAAAGAAGAGCTGCCCTTAATCTCTGAGGAACAAAAAGCTTAAAAACAGGGCAATAGCAGTTTGCTAGTCTCACAAGAATATCTGAAAACCACAGGAGGATGGTTAGCTAATGACTGTGCTGGTAACATGGTACGTCCCGTACCTGGAGCAGGCAGGCATCCATGTGCTGTAGCACTCTGCTATCTGAGCACCAGCAGCACTCAGCACACCACAGAGGGCTTTCCCATAACACCCACGTTCCCTCCCACCGTATCTCATGCTACCCCCATGGATTTGCACTCAGCTCAAGGAAAAAACAGATGAAGAGTAGAAAAGTGGAAGAGTATGCATGGCTAAGAGAGTCAGAAACAGATGCTTTCTCCAATCTAACAAGTTTACCAAGCTTGTTATCAAGGAAAATCAGCAGCAAGGATGCTCTCTGCACCTACTGCATTAACCCACAAATGTGAGACTTGCTTCACACTTGTCTGAACGTATCAGGAAAAAGCAGTTTCAAAACAGGTTCCCCCAAGGTCAAAGACAGCTGCACAACTGGGCTGTAATCTTTCTTCCCCTTCTGAAAATAAACAGAGCTGTTCTGAAGCTGCTAGCAAGAACTGTGATCCACTGAGCTGACTACTCTCAGCAGTGCTGAGTACAGCAAAAGCCCCATACTACCTAACACTTAGTAGGTAACGTGCTAAAAATTGCTTTCCTTTACAAAGCTCATTTTAAGAGCATTCCAAATATTGGAGCAGGGTTGCTTCTTTTTCTCCCCAACTTCATTAACAGAGAATTTTAAGAGCACCAAGGCAACAACAAACAGCATCCTTGCAAAGGTCATTCCTCTGGACACACTTGTGAACGTGCCTGCTTGCAGGCAGGACTGGTTCTGAAAGACCCAAGCTCACTTTGCCTGGTCAACTTCAGTGCTCTGAAACTTGAGTAAAAACATTCCTGTCCTTGGATGATGGAAGGGGAACAGAAGCAGTTAGAGATTATCTATCTTAACCTTGACTGCCTCCTCACTGACTCTAAACTTTTGATTCAGATTGAAGATCTTACTTCCCTGCTCTTGGTTCAGCTCCCCAAACTCAAGTTTGATTCAGGCCACTTGCCCTTTTATATAATTATATCCTGCATACAACCATTTTTACTTCAGGTAGAAGACATCTTACTCAGCCTGAAGCCTGAACCAAAATGGTTTTGCTTTTTCTTTATGTTTTGTACTGCTGGATCCAAGCTGCTCCCTGAGCCACTTCACTCCATTAGCTCTTGGATTTTCCAAGTAATCTACTTAAGTAACGAAACACAGTAACTAGCTTAGTAAATAACTTATTTTTACTGGGAAAAGCAAGGCCACTTTTTGTAAATACCTATGGAAATCAAACTATTTTAATGAAATCAATACGAACATCCTGCAGCCAAATGCCAGTTCTCTCTCTGTGAGCATCATCTCTCACTACAGTACTGCTAAAAGACAACAGCACAGGAGCTCATTTCAGGATGTTTTCTCCTACATCTCTACTTCCGTTTCAAGAGAAAAACAAGGAAACCAACCTCGTACAGAATTAAGGAAGTCTGAAGTGAAAGCTACAACACTGCTAACTTAACAACTTCAGCAATGGTTTAATATACAAAACACTGCTTCGAAAATAGAAGAGCCCAAAGATGCACAGCGAATGAGTTTCTTACAGACAGCTGCTTTACCAGAAACACTTCAATTTAATAAAGAACTCCCACTGCTCCCAGTTTAGCCCACTGATGCTGGTACCAGAGGGCTGACTGCTGAGCAAGGACAGCGTGTTCATAGCTGTGTCATGATTTCCCTTCTCCCTCCCACCGGCTCTCCTTGTTCCTTCACCAAAGCAGCCAGCAGAACCCACCACCTCCTGCCTCCAGTGCATCTGAAGTTGTAGACAACTGATGTAGAAAATCACTGAGTCCAATAAATTGGTTCTGTACTGCTGTACTGTTTAAGAAGAATATTAAATTTAGAAGAACAACAAAACTGAAACATTCAACACTGCAGGTCTGCAACTGCCTGATTCGAATGCGCTGCAACAGAGCAATTCAGATTGTAATACATCCCAAATCCTTCCAGTACTTTTACTATCTTCTATATAGAAAACTAATACATTTCCTTCTTTATATATTAAATAATTTTTTAAAAGATCATCTTTATTTATATATAGACAAAACCTGCATCCTCATCAGCCCTTGACAAGACACTCAGTGGCAATGGAAGGTTAACCCAACATTAATAAACAACCATACATTTAATGAAAGCAAGTGCTGAGCTTATGACTAAGGGAAATTCATTCCCAAAAGTGAATCTGAACAGCACTGCACCACTATGCTGCAGATAGAATGCCTGAATGAACACTCTTAAAACTGCAAAGACCGGATATCAAACCTCACCTATAAGAACATGTAGTGAATTTTCAAGTGTACAGAAGTTTTAACCACAGATTTCTTGCTGATTTGTACTTCTATGAATACAGTAAGATCTGGGAAACTCAGACTAGCAGACACAGCAGGCAGAAGAAACAATGAGTCTGTTTTTAAATTCAAAAAAGTATCTCAATTGCTGCGTGACACACTGACAGAATGTGAACTAAATGAAACAAACTGACATTTCTGACGTAGATATATGAAGAAAATTGACATTTCTCAGAGGAGTTACTAAACAGTTCCTATTGCCAGGTTATTGTCACTTTCATATGCTGCAGCACTGCCACATTTAATAGCTTCAGTGTGAATATTCCTTGAATTTACTTTAAGATTACACTTGAGATAAATTGTAAAGAAGACAAGATTTCAAGTCTGAACTTTAATATCAGAACTAGAACACCATTTCTTCAATTCATCTGAACAATTTAAAACCACGTTTTAAATTCTTATGGCACCAAACTGACTCAGAATCAGAGGCCCACTTGGCCAACTGAGAGAAGGAGACTGAAAGATATAAAAGAGCTTCAAAGCATGAATCAGAACTGAAGACGGCTTAAGGCTTCACTAAAACATTCACTGAGTTCTACCGTTGCTCGTGTAATCCATTCTTTAAACAGACTTTAGGGGGATTGCACAGATACAATGCAGAGCAAAACTGGCTCACACTGCCCAGTTTGAGCAAGATTTAGTCACATTATCTTTCGCAGGATTCAGAAAGACAGGAGAGTAAGTTTAATCCTTCCTGCAAGGATCGTTTTATTCCGCACCCCAGCTCCTCGAGTAAAATCAGAGATGACTTAAAAAAATTAATGCCACGCACACTAATAAAAAAAATTAGCGTGGGGCAAAACTGAAGTTTCAGTATCTCAATATTTTTCTGCCATCTGACAGAATTAAAACACAAAACAACAAAAAACAGACACAGCGTAGCTCTCCTTTAGGCATCTGTCGGCGGTACAATCAATACAGGATGATATAAGGAATCTGGATAACCATTCTTTTATCAAGATGCCCTCAGTCCGTCGTTGACCTCCTGTACCAAAATCTAGCCCTGTAGTCATCACTGCAGGTCATGAAGCCAGGGTTGGTGGGAGAATGGACAATACAGCGGACGATGCTGTTGTGCCCAAGAGAAAGGAGGTTTCTTCGCTCAGCAGTTCTCGAATCCCAGCAGCAGAGACTTATGGTCCTTTCATCTGGCAGCAGCACGTAGTCTTCTGTGTGGTTGAAGACTGCTTGTGTCCTGTGCACTTGACGTCCACTCAGACCAGCTCCTAAATACATGCAGTGAAATACAAGCCAAGTAAGATCTTTAGGTTTTTCTTCCCCAAGGATCCAGAAGTAAACTACAGCAATTGATAGTTATGGGAAGTCTATTACCGAGCCTTATTTCCTCAGTTAGTACACATGTAAAGTAACTACAGGTATCCTCTTGTAATTATATACACTGTATAGGGCAGAACATGTTAGAGAATAGAAGGATTAAGCATTCCACTAGTAAGAAGTTCAGCCAGTCAGCATGAATGCAAACATTAAGAGCAGTATAGCCTTACATCTTTTATACAAGGCTTACAGCTAACTAACTGAAGACCACAGTTACTGGTGAACACACATTCCTGTTATCATTAGTAACTTCTGCTTTTAATGAGCAGGCCACACAATGTGCCACACGATGTACTTCAGCCACACCTCTCCTCCTCCCTTCAAAGGGGATGTGTTACCCACTCATGCATTTATTTTGCAAGGAATACATTGCTGCATCCTACCTGGTGTCTGCAAGAGTTTACTGAGGAGGTGCTGCACCCTGCTGGTTGGCAGCAAACACAGCCAGTGCACACAGACTGCACACATCCAAACCAGTGGTACGAGTTCAATTCCCCTACAGTCTGGGCAACAATCCAGGCAAGTGAACTCCTCTAACTCCAAAAGGGTTACACAGTACTTTTGACTTTCCCATTTTTTGGTTAGACTAGGCGTGCAGCTTAAACTGGTGAGCCCCCAAACTAAAGTGAACATTAACAAGAAAAGCAATTATGCTTTTTTAAAAAATAATGTTCAAGAAAAACTAGAAAATGAAATTCTTCCCACAAGCATTCTATTCCTTAAAGGATCCACATTCCTATTTACTTTTTCTCTAGTCTGGTGATGACTTCCCTCCAAAAGTGTAATGATGTCAGTTATGTGTCCAAGCTCTAGATAGAGTAAATAGGTTGACATTGACATAGCTCTTCTTCTGGAAGTATTTTACATTTTCAAATTTGGGGCCATTTATCCTCACAAAAGCAGTCCCCCCTTACGAGTTAATATTCAGCAGTGACAGATCTTACTCTTCAGACAGACACCACCACCTGCTCACTGGTCAGCACACGACAAAGGTGGTCCCTGGCAGGTCAGCTGCCACGTACCTGTGTACTTGACCAGCGTCCGACCAGTAGATATCTCCCACAGTTTAGCTACAGAGTCTTTTCCACTTGACAAGATATACTTTGAATTCTTGGAAAAAATAGCAGAACAGACTTCAGCTCCATCATGTGCCTTCTCAAAAGTAGTGATGCAGCGGTTCGAAACACCATCCCACAGTTTGATGCATCCATCCTTGCTTCCTGTCACATACATGTTTGCGCTTGCGTTGTAATTCACTGAGCATATGGCATCGATGTGCTGGTCTTGAGGATTGCAAGACACAAAACATTGGAAAGTATTGATATCATAGAGTCGCAAAGTAGGGTGCTGGGTACCCACAAGTATGAAATCTCCAGAGGGATGGAAAGAGATGGAGCGCAACATCTCTGCTTCCTGTTGGAGCAAAAAAGACGTAATTGGTGTAAGGTTAAAAGTAAAACACAAAAATCGAAGCGTCAATCGTGGTGGCACTAAAAAATAAAACTGCATTATCAATTAGCATAACCTGTTCTATTTTCACAGCATAGAAAATGCCCTGTGTATTATTTAAGTGACAGGCCACGCTAAAATGTATCATAGTTTCTCCCCTAGAGCAGCTTGCTGTGCCCATTTGTTGGATACTGTACAACAGCAGCAGGAGGTTTTGTCAGCCACCACATAATCACAAACTTTGCCTCCAGAACCAAGAAAATGTAGCTGACTTCAGAGTCATCCATTTTAGATTAGGTCTGAATTAACAAAAAGCCAACAGGCACAAGATTCTAAGACTATAGCTATCCATTACAAACTCACAGTGCATCACCAGGTCTGAACATTTTGTAGCTGCATACTCCTGCATACTACATACACTTACATACCCAGATGCAATTCAGCTCACTGATACCTCAATAATCACACATGCAAGATTTGGTTGCTCTGAATTGAACTATTGTATCTAACCTGTATGTATTTGAAGGCTCTTTTGGCAGAAGGTTTTGAATAGTCAAACAATTTAAGTGTGTAGTCCCTTGAACCAGATGCTAGGATCTGTTCTGTAGGATGAAAAGCTAAACATGTAACCTCATCCACATGATCATACAGAGTCCGAATAACAGGGTGATTTTCCATGTTCTGCTGTGCTGTCTCATTCATCATGACCTACAAAGAACATTGAACAAGTCACTGTTAGAAGGCAGAACACTCCTTTGACAGGAAATTTACCATTTTCACTCGTACCCGTGATCGTATCGCTACCTTTTCTGACATATGACTTGGCACATTATCACTGATCTTAATTATCTGAAGATGTGATACCTTCACACAGTCACAAATTCTTATGAAATAACGTCCCTGTGTCTTTACAAAGGTTACTGGATTTGCTCAAGGACAAACTACTGTCAGCCACAGAGAACTGATGCCTGAACATACATCACCTTCGTGAACAGTCCAAATCAAAAGACATTACTGCCACACTAATTAAGGGAAGCAGTACCAACTGGGAAAACTGCAACTTTCACTCATGTTGCATACTGCTGGGAATTTGGTGTGCACTCAGTGGGGAAAAAAAACGACAAACCCAGAACTCTTAAGCTGTTGCCAGATAAGTGTATTAGAGAAAAAGGAAGCAAATATGAACTCCGTGAAAAAGTACTGAAGCAGAGCCATGCGTTGTATAGTCAGATGTGAAGGTAGGTCCATAACCAAACTGTCTGCATGGTTATAGAGATTATCAACAACTATTAGAAGCAATTTTTGTCTTGGCTCTCCAGAATGCTGTGAGGAGTTACACAGGTATACTCGCCCTGTTTTTTCTTCTTTTTCTTCAAGGGTGCTTTATGAGCCACTGCTGGAATAAGAAATACGTCGAGACAGATATTTAGTCCAACCCACTGAGCCAGCCACAAGGCACAGACATGGCACGAAACAGAGAAAGCAGCCCAAGAACTGACAAAGTGACTGTGATTCAAGTCATATTTTACCTCAATAGGCATAGCACTTTTGGCCAGCATTCTCTCCGTGTCAAGAATTTTTATTGAGGCATCAGCAGATCCTGTAGCTATTAGCTGTCCATCTCTGCTATATGTTGCTACACGACACGGCCCCTTATGAGACGTGACGTAACAAGTCTCATACTCAGAGGCCTCAGGAGACATGGTCTGTACATCTGCATCAAATTCCAAGTCGATTCCAGTGCCTGGAGCTACTGTATCTGACCGCCCAATTGCATACTGAACAGCACTGTCATCATTCTCCATCCCTGAAAAGAGAAAGTTGACATTCTTAAACCAGGCTTACCTCCTCTTTAGACAGGCAGGCTATGCCCACACCTATCCTACAGATTTCTTTGGCAGCTCTCAAGTTCAGGATTTAAGAGACAGCCCACGTTGAACAAAGCTAAGCTAGCAGAACGGATTTAGTTGTAGTACAGCAACATCTATCATTAAGAGTGAAAGGCAGTTTGACTAAACACAGCTGTTTAGTGTTCAGCACTGGTGTAACTGTGGCAAGATAACCAGTAAATATAGGATGGTATTAAGTACTAATTACTTATTAACAGCTAAACAATCACATACAGAAGTCGATGACATGCCTATAATCAGGTTACAATAGGGTGAAAGAAGACAGTGCTATTACATGAGATTTAAAGTGGAAAAAATAGAAGCATTTACCAATTACTCTCTTTCTAACTGAATTGAAAGAACAACACAAACTCCTATCCTAACACTACTCACAAAAATTATTAATTCAAACCCACCTTAAAGAATCATTTTGACTGCAACATGCATCTACATGACGAAGCCAATTCAGCACTGCAAACTGCACCAAGGCACACAAGCTTTAAGCTAAGTGCCTACTTGCAGTTAGCGACTTTCACAGAAAAGTTTTTTCCTGCTTTCATCTACAGACTGCAAAGCCCAGTATTCTTCTTACAGACAGACGAGGCTCCACATTTATACCCATAGAAGTCAACTAGTTCAAGCAGCAGAACCAGTTCAGTTACAATGCAGAGAAAACACGTTGTCATGGTTAGCACTGTTCCAGTAATCCAGGTGACTTGTTTCAACAGCAGCCCAGGAACTCTGGGCTTTCTGCAGCACATGTGTACTTTCAGAAAGATGCATAGAGGGAACAGGAAACACATCTTTGCCAAGATCATAGACTGTGAAGCTTGTTTTCTTGAGAGTGGTATAAAAAGGCCAATGAATGGGGCCAATAGAAGGACTTATTCCCTCCCCTCCAACACGTCCAGGAGCAACCAGAGAGAGTTGTGCCTTAGTAATGGATCTAACACTATTAAATGTGCAGTGATCCTGCGAGTCACTGAACAGGCTAAAGATATAAAAGCTTTGTGATTTACTACAAAGGCATAGAAAACAGAAGAGATGCATTCTCAGTAATACTACACTATTCACAAATGTTTAATCCAAACATTTGGGAGCACAAACTTTACAGGAACTATTTTGCTTTTAATGTCAGCTTACCTAATTTAATAAGATGCAGCAGTTGTTCAGATGGCGCACACACTGATTGTGGTTTTATCTCATTTATTAAGCCATTGGCAATATTTATGTATCCGTCATACAGTAGCTGACTAATGATTAGTTTATAAAGTTGCTGACGGTCTTTCAAGCTGACTTTTGTCCTATACATTGTGAGCAAGGAATGCCTTGGAGGGGCCTGAAATAAACAAATGGGAAAAGTCACACACAAGAGAGTTGCACAAAACAAAGCCTTTAATTGAAGTGCATCCTGCCAGGTATCAGTGCTAACAGCACCGAAAGTTTAGGTAAGACAGAGACCGAGAAGCGAAAGACAGAAAAAACAGGAGAAAGCCGGTGCGGCTTTATTGCAGAAACGAAAACCCGACAAATAAAAAGAATGTGAGTTATATTAAGAAGCAACGGAGAAATAATGAAATAAAATAAAATAAAATAAAGAAGAAAAAAAAAAAAGCAGCTCCGGTGAGCGGGGTTATCGGGTCGGTAGCGCCCATCGCGCCCCACTGGCAGCAGGCAGGTGGGTGGGGAGCAGGGGGACGGAGCGGGGCACGAGCAACGTGCGAAGCCCGAGCGGCAGCGGCAGCCCCGCCCGGCCCGGGGAGCGACGACCGGAGCGGGAGGGGGCGTGTGGGAACGGGGCCGAATGAGGGCGGGCACGGCGCCCGGCGGGAGCGCGGCGGGCAAGGGAGCGCGGGCGGCGCCGAGCGGCCGTTAGGGAGGGCGCGGCGCTGCCGAGGCCGCGCAGCCGAACGCGGAGAGCGGCGCGAGGCCGCCCGGTACCTACCGAGCCTTCCTTCTGCCTCCCTCGCTCTCCCCCTAAAATGGCGACCGGAGCTCTGAGCGCATCGATCGGCGGCGGCGGTAAGGGAGGAGGCGGCGGCGGCGGCCGAGACCGAAGAATGCTCCTCCGCGAAGGCTGCTGCATCGAGCGCCCGCAAATCGATTGGAGGCGACTCTTGGGGGAGAGAACGGCGGCGTCACGTGAGCAGTGACGCCTAACGTGCGCGCCGCGCCGCTGGCAAGCCCCCTCCCCGTCACGTGACGCGCGACGCGCGAAGTGAGCCCCCGCCCGGCGGGGAAGGGGCGGGCTGCGGGCGCGGCGCCCCGCGGTGTTACCGGGAGTCTACCGCCCCTTCCCCGCGTGGCTCGGGCCCAGCTGCAGCCGGCGGGGCGGCGGCTCGGGCGGGGCGGACAGCGGCCCGCGGACGCGTGTAGGGCCGCCCCGCGCCGCCCGTCGGCGTGTGGGGCCGGCTGCTAAGAGCGTCAGCGGCTGGGCGCCGAGGGTCTTTGTGTCTGGGCCGCGGGGCGCCCGCCCGGTGCCGCCGGGACACCGCAACACCCGACGCGGGGCTGCGAAACGAGCGCTTGGCTCTGCCTCCCGGTGCCGCAGGCCTCGCGAACGGTTCGGGCCGCCGGCACGGCCGGCCGCCCTGCTTCCAGGTCCCGCAGGCTGAGCTCCTGCCCCACCGCCGCCCTCCCCGCAGCCCTGCCCTACTCACGTCAGCCTCCAGAAACGGCAGCCGAAGTGGACGCGGGTCGAGGAGCGGGGCCGCCATGCTCCCCATGCCCCGCGGCAGCTGGCGTCGGTCACACGCGGCAGCCACACGACGACCCGACATCTTCTTTTTACCTATCGTGTCCCGCTTGTCAAACACCAACACACCGGGACCGCCCTCGCGCTGGTTGTTAAGGACGCAGAGCCAAGTTGCCTTCAATCACACTTCTTCAGAGGCCGCACGTGTCGCACCGAGCGGCGGAGCTCCCGGCACCGCAGCGAGCGGGGCCACGCGACAGCGCAGCGCCCCGCGCTCCTTCGCGCTTCACGAGCGGCACCGAGCGCTCAGCCCTGTCTCAGGGCGCCGCGTACCGCTGACAGCTGCGAGCCGGCAGCGCCGTTACACGACGTCGGGCTCCGGCCGGGCGTCCCCTAGTGCCGAGGCGGGCGGCCGTCCCCTTCGCGCTTGTCCTTAAGAGCCGAGGGCACGTGGAGCAGTGCCACACAGTGCCGCCGGTGCGAGCCAGAGGCCTGCCGCAGCCCTCCTGCTGCTCCTCGGCGCTGCCACCCGTCGCACCTTGCCTCGCCGGCAGGACGCGATGGCCCCGAGCCCCCTTTCGAGCTCGGCTTCACGAGAGCCGGCGGCACCGCCTCTCCCTCGGCCTCGGGCTGCGGGTGGGCGTGCGGGTAGCTGAGAGGGACGAGGTCGGAGCCCGGTGAGATGCGGGACTAACCTGGAGCCCTTCCCCCCGACGCCGGCGGCGCGCTGCAAGGCCTCGGCGGCTGTAAGGAAGGAACGGTAGTTGTAGCGTTGCCACAGGTGGGTGGTCTGGACGTACGCGATTTGCGTAACGAAAGACCCGGCCGGGCAGAGACTTGCGGAGAAAAGTGTGTAAGCGGGGCTCAATCCACGCAGTTGGAGTACGGAAGAAGCCAGCGGCGGAGAGACGGTACGTAAAATACGCATGTAGCGCAAACACCGCCCTCGGGGCGGGCGGGTCGGGCCGACGCGGGTACGCAGCAGGCTGCCGTTGCGCATGCGCTCCGCCAGCTCACGGCGACGAGTCTCGGCCTCGCGACGAGCGGAGCTTTAGGAGAGCCAATCGGCGGGCGCGTCGACTGAAAAGCAGCCAATCGGCGGGCGCGGACGCCGGGAGAGGGGCCAATGGCGAGGGGGCGGTAGTTTAAAGGGTATTTAAGGGAGGGAGGTTTGAATTCAAACAGTCGGAGCGGCCGGAGGCCGAGGTGAGGGGGGTCGTGAGGCGTTCGGGGCGGTGCTGCGGCGTGGAGCGACCTTCCTGCATCGGGGGCGGCCCGGCTGGCGGGAGGTGCGGGAGGTTACGGGAGGTTACGGGGCTGTGGCGGATGGTGTAGGGGGCAGAGGGAGAGTGGAGCCGGGGAATGGTGCTGTCTGCGCGGCTCACCCCGTCCTCTGCCCGCTCCGTAGGCGAAACCGCATCTTGCCTTTCTCAGGCGCTATGGACAGGAAGATAAAAGAAAACTGTCCTGGAAACCCGTCTCGCGCTGCTAAGGTAAGGGGCTGATAGAGTTTATGGGTGTATTTTTCGCGGCTGTACAAAACCTGTGAGTCTCAAGGTGTGATGATGGTGACTGGTTTTGTTAAGTGGCAGACAGGAGGAAGAAGCTCTGAGCGATGCTTTCTATGCACAGCGAGCAATTATCAACATGGCCTTTCAGCCTCTTTTGTTGCAGAGGATAATGTCCAAGTCTGAACTTCTTACTGCCGTTATTAGCATGCGGTTTTTTAATTGGCAAGTCTTAATAGTGCAGTTTTTATCCATAATCCCTTAATTAGATAACAAATGTGTGCAGGGAACTGGCTGTGATTTCCAAAGGAAATGCTGCCTTCATGCTGTTATTCACGTGTCTAAGACTGCATATCTTTGCATACAGAAGCAGGGACATTCTCATTCTTGTAACTTCAATATGAACAGGTCCTGGTCAGATTTTAGAGTAGCAGAAGTAAAGCATAATTTAAAATCGGCTTTCAACGCATTGAATCAAAAAACTAGAACATAAGTGTTCTTAGGGGAGTCAAGGCATCACTTAACAGCGTTTGAATTTAATTCTAAGCAAAGTATTCTGGAACAACTAAGAATTGCTTAAATATAAATTTAAACTACCTTCCTCAACTGAAAGAAAGGGATTAAAAGCAGATAAAGGAACCTTACCAAACTTGCTTTGGTCTGATGAACTCCTGTTGCAGTGCAAGGCATCTTAAAATGCACAGCATTCAAGGGAGCAGTGGCTCAAAGCAGTGCATGTGAATAGAATTCCTGTAGTAAAGACCTCTCTAAACTTTCCACCAATATCTGGACTTTGGTGGGTCCATGACTAATTATGAATAAGTATGTTGTTAACAAGACAGCAGTTTTCTACAGGTCAATTGAATTCTTAAAATATAAGATCAGAGTAATTTTAAGATCTCCTTTTGATATACTCTGTTTTTTTTTTCTCCTGCCTGTCTTTTTTTCACAACCTAAACCTAATTCTATTGTACAGGGACATAAAGGTTATAGTGTGCTATTCTATTACTAATGTACAACTACTGTTTTTTGAAGGTAGCAAATCCTGTTGTAGATGGCCCAAAACGTGTCCCTGTGTCTCAGAATTCTGCCCAGAGCCGGCCACTGAACAGTGGAGTTCAACCACAGCGTGTTCTGTGTCCTTCAAATTTTGCCCAGCGAGTTCCTGTGCAATCACAAAAATCTTCTTCACTGTCAAACCAAAAACTGTCCAACAGTCAGACAACACAGCAGCCCCGGCCGAAACTCCCAGTCCAACCAACTGCTGGGCCTCAGGTTGCAAGCAAGAACAATGAAAAACCTCAACAAGCTCCTATACCTGGTAATTCTGAAGATTACATCTTTATGTGTTTGTGACACTTGGGATACTTCAAACAAGAGTGCAGTGCAGAAAATGTAAAGCTCATGCTATGTTGGGCAGTCCTGTAGAGAAATAGCTGGTTGCACCCAGAAACAGAAAAGCAGCACATAGTTCATCTTGGATGTTACTGTACTGTCCTTGTTGCTAGGATTAGGGATTTAGAGCCCGTATAAGTGTTTCTCCAACCTTGAAAATTTACAGATGCACATTAGTCAACTTTGAATAAATGGAGTTGGTGTTCCTGCAGCACATTTTTTTTTCCAGTGTTTATGGTAATCTGATACACGAGGATACTGTATGAGCAGGAATGAGGAGGTGGGGGGAAGCTTTCTTAATGTTTTCATTGATTTCAAAAAACATTTGAAGTTACACTTTGATGAAGTAGCCCTAACTGTTGTGCTGCTTTGCCAATGGTGAACTACACTAAGTTTTAAATATCATGGATGGTGGACTGTAAACTGCTGTAGATACAACCCAGACTTGTTCTTCATGTGAATGTGTTGTGTTCACTGGTCTGTTTTATAAAGTTGTTCTACTTGTTTGTGTTCAGCAAAGAGTTCTGAAGCAGACAGCACCTCTAAACAGAAAAGCGAAGAGTCTACTAAAAAGAAAAAGGAAGAGACTAAAAAGTAAGTTGTGCGCCTATAAAACTTAGAGCAAGCTAATTATTCTTTCAGTGTCTAGCACTTCATGCTACAGCTAAGTTGCAGCCAAGCTGCTGTCTTTAGTCTCTTGACTGCTAAGAACAGTGGCCTTCTCACTTCATAGTGACAATATTTATTAATGAAACTCTGGGAATGGTTATTTTGCTTTGGTAATCTTCAGAAACAATAAATTACTGTAATCTGAAGAAAAGCTTTTGGCTCAACAAGGAGCAACTTTTCCCATGAGAGAATTCTGATAATCACTGCTGTAATCACATGATGTTCACTTGGAAAAATGTGTTCTTCATGTGTGCAGGAGGCTTGAGTCAAGTTTCACTTGTAGTATGGCTGCTTTGAAACAGTTCTGACAGTCTAGAATAGATCTGTATCAAGTATATTGAAATGTACTTTGTTATACAGTTTTGGTTTTGTTGTAATAAGTAGCTGTACCTCAATGCATGTGCTTTAGAAGCAAGAGAGAAGCTTTCAAAACTGCCTTTAGAGAAATCTCAATGCATGTTTTGTCCTCTTGGTGGTGTGCCTTTAAAGACTAAAATCTAGCTGAGATCACTAATTATGTATTTAGCTGGAACGTTGCTGTCACACCCAAGCATTGCTTTTGTAACATTCTCTCCTTTTGCAGAAGACAGTGGTCTCTGGATGATTTTGAAATTGGTCGTCCTCTGGGGAAAGGAAAATTTGGAAATGTGTACCTGGCACGTGAAAAGCAGAGTAAATTCATTCTTGCACTGAAGGTGCTGTTTAAAGCACAGCTTGAGGATGCTGGTGTAGAACATCAACTACGAAGAGAAGTTGAAATACAGTCTCATCTCAGGTAATGTGAGCAGTTAACCTCTGCTTAGTTTGTGCTCAATTTAAAAAAACAAAGTAATCTTACCTGAAGAAAAGCAATCCTGTAATATGTGACAACTTGAAACTGCTTCTTGTCATTCTGCCCCTGCCCCACCACCCCATGGGCCAAAAGAACCCAAACAGAAGTCAAGCACCTGGCCAGTTCTTACAAGTGGATGACTGCAATTTCTCAGTCTAGGCTTGTTCCTGCTATTCTGTTTCACAGAAAATAATTGAAGTATTTAAGCTTAAGTTCAGAGAACTGTAGATATTTGCGTGTTGAATGGTGATCTATTCTGTGTGTAGAAAGCTATGTATGAGAAAATACAAATGAGCTGAATTCTTGGCTACGTTTTTGCTACTAGCAAGTCTGATACTTCTGTGATAAATACCTCTGTCTGCTCTGAAGCTCTCATAGAAACGGACATGGCAGTTGGAACTGTGCTGTCTTGTGTAGCATTAATGTTAAATTGTAGGCCCTATATGTATAATTAGTTGTACACATACCTTGTTCAGGAAGGCATTTCAATTTTCTTGCAGGCATCCCAACATACTCAGACTGTACGGCTACTTCCATGACGTTACAAGAGTCTACCTTATTCTAGAGTATGCACCTCGTGGAGAAGTCTTCAAGGAACTACAGAAGCTTACCAAATTTGATGAACAAAGAACTGCAACTGTAGGTTGTTCTGACTGCTTGCTGCTGTGTAGCATACCTGAAGTATAAAGCTAGCTCTTCGAGAAAGTCATTTTCAGTTGCATGAAACCAACTCCTTAGATGCTAGTTTGCTTATGCACTTGTAACCTATTTAGGAATATGCTGGGAGGACAAACTACTGCAGTGTTAACGGATAATGTTCAGCATTGCCCAGCACTGCAATTTGTGTTGTC